ACGGCCTCCTAAAAGAGAAAAACTAAAAAGGTTTGATAGTATTTAATGCCCTTTTGACTTTCATTCTGCCGTCTGGCGAATCGGCTTTCACAGTCCACTCATCCTTACCGCATTCAAATGTGTCCGGATATAGTGACGCACACGTGCAGCCGGGCCAACTTTCAACCAAACATATTTTCAGGCCGCTCTGAATTTGCAATACTGCTTCCTCTATTAAGCTCATCTCGGGCTGGGCATATTCAAGAATTCCCTACCACACTTCTTTTAACTTTTCTTCATCGCGTGCCGCTCTGCCTTTAGTATACCGTTCTCTCGTCGAGACAAATTTACCGAATTGCTCCGTATGTACTCAACAACCCTTTTCCTAGTTGCGTTTCTTATCTGGAAGCCTGGTTAATTTGATCTCTTCCCACGTGTTCAATTTGGGCGATTGTTTCACTTTTGCCTAGTTTAACTGGTATATATTATTTAAAAAACATCTAAATAGCATTTTCGCGCAAAATAACAAAGCTCCGGCTGATGCCAACGAATTTCCCATATTGCGTAGGCTAATTTCCGAATTCTTTTATGCATTTTATTGCTCATGCAGACCTGTGGGGATATTATCGCGCAAATGTTTGTGCAATTTGCGTTGATATTTCAATTCGAACATGCATTATGTTTTTACTCATCGATCTAACTGTAACGCGTTGGGTCACATGGGGACCGCAGTTGAGCTGGATGTCTAGAAGTCTCTAAAAAGTAGTTTCCGGGCAAAACATAGTCCTTTGCGGGCTGACATCGTCTACAGGGTGCAGGTGGACATCGAGAACATCTTCCATTACATTAATCTGTTTTACCTTTCATTCACCGTGAAGAACCTTATAGTGGCCCTCGCTTTTACGGTCCGCTATCGTCCATTGCCATTTATGCTCAGTCTGTCTGTCTCTCCCTCTCCCTCTCTCTATCTTCCTTTCCATCTCTGCGTTTTAACGCATCACCGGTGAATTTGTTCTTAGATGCATTTTTGGATTGTGTGATGCCAGTTACTATCGATGGTTATTCGTCGTCTACAGTTTCAGCTCACGGTCGATTTCACCAAGGCTTTTGATCGTGTCGATCATGCTCTCATTCCGCTGAAACTACTATATTTCTGAGTTAATCATGATTTATGTCTTCTTATTCGGACACTCGAACGAAACGAATTAAATTTACCAGTGTTACCTCTAATCACACATGTATGCTCACCGGTGTTAATCGGGGGAATGTGCTTGGCTCCCTCTTATTTCTCTTTTTTCCAATGACATACCAGTTTTACTTTAGGGTGGCAGACCCTTCACTATCTTGCTCTAACTTATAAGGATCTTAACGCATGTACACAACAATGGTGCTGCATCCGCTGCTAGTCTTTTTCTTGGTACAAATGGCCACTATGGTTGCTGGTGACGATCATCAGCCGCAATTAAGAAAAGATGGTCAAAGCATGAACATGGGCAGACAGTCAATAAATACGCACATGTCATATTTCAAAGTCTCCATCTTTTAGAGCAATGAGTCTTTATTTTTTACAAAATACACACCACTATCGGGTTTGTTCTTCAAAATGTCAAAACTAGCGCTATTAAACTCTGTCTTTACAAAATATATGCTTGGTCAGGCGTGAAATACTACTGCTTTCTTTTTAACCTTCTTCCTGCCAGTGAGTTGAAGGAACTAGAATCCGTGCATTATTTTCTGCTAAAATAAAATTAATCGCGGAAGACGGTAACTTATAATCGTTGTGGGCTTACAAGCTCTGAGCCTTTCTACCTTCGCCAATTAAGAATTCGAAGGTTTATAGTGTTTGAGGTTCTAACCGATCATGCCTATTATTTACTTACAAGTTTGAGGCCAACTGTATATTCTTGGCGCACCCGTCCTGATGAAAGCTACATATCTCCGCGAACGCCATTACAGTGTGTAAAATGTAATAATCAATAGAAATTTCTGCAAAATTATCATTTTTAAGAAAAATATCACCAGTCATGTGCATTCAGAACAGCCTCCACGAGTTGGGTGAACCCAGTCAATCAAATTTACTTCCAGTGTGATAAGGTTGGTGCTCTCTTAGCCCAGATCCCGGTTTCATCTTGAGGACAAGAATGCTGACTCTGCAGCCCACAGTCGGCCAATTGTTCGGCCGACAGCGAGTTACCATTCGCCGTTGTATTCTTTTCTGGTGCAGAATCCCGGTTCCAGGAAAATTAAGAGAGACTGAAAATAATTACTGCAGTTGTGTTAGTTATTTTTCGTTCTGCAATGCCAAAATTCCGCGACTAGCAAAATTTTCTCCTGAATACTCAATGACGAGACCCTCCGGGCCTAAAATATAAAATTTATTTATTCATTTATTTATTTATTTACTCCCGGCTACTGCAAAACACTAATAAAAATAATTTTATTTCGACGAGCTTTTTTCACTGCTCGATCCACACTGTATAATCTTGTACCGTTGCCCATAGATTGGCCTTCACTGCAATTGCTATGGGCGAATGCATTAGAAGATACAGCATTATGTTAATAGAATCGAAGACTTTAGTCCCAGAATATAGTTTTGAAGAAGAATAACACTAGGCCAGTAGAATGAGTGCTTTATTGTTGTAAAGGTTTGGATGCTCTCTCGAATCTATTATCAGAGGCGAAGTCAACTAACGGAAGCGAAGCACCAAGTTGTTGCACCTGTAGTTGCAAGGCCATAACATGTCACACTGCAACACTTGGCTACTCAGATATTAATCGCACAACATGCAACTATCCACCATGTTTTCGTGTGCTGCCAATTGTGATAGGCATTTAAGAGAGTAGCAAGTTTATCTTATCGTTATTTTCACACCTAGACAATTTATTTTGTCTGTGATGTTGTATTCTATTGAAAATCAGGAACATCAGGCTGATGAAAATCTTGCTTCAGTGCCAATTTCTACTTTTTTTGCGATACAGCAATTGCTGTGCGGCTTATTAATGACTCATGTTTATTACCCTATTTGCCTGATTGTCGTATACTAAGAGATGGTAAACTTTCAATAGCTCAGGCAAAACATGTATTCGGGTGGACACACAACGCTGATGGGAACAGTCCAGTGTAATTGCAGTGGTCATTTCATACACGCTTTTCGCGTCCTTCCGCATAGTTTTCCTCTCATGGCTGTATTCGTTCAAAACTACCCCTTTCGGAGCCTTCCTTTCTCCCTAGGATTATAGAAATCCCAAATACCATCACATTCACTTCAACATTTACAACACGTGTAGCCCCGACGGCTGGAAAATATTACAGGCAACTAGAAGGAACGGATTGCCCCCGCAAAAGAAATGTTCAAGTGTTGATAGACAGGACAGTTTTTTCGGCAGCAACAGTGTTTATTGAAGCAAGTGGTCGTATATTTAAAAAAATATAAAGGGAAATAGATTGCTTGTATTATTATTTTACAGTTTGATTTACACAAGGCATTTGCTCACGGTTTCTGTATTGCAAGGGTTGCAATGTTATACATCAACCATATCAAAAGTAAAAAAAAGAACTGGCTAAGGTACTGGTTAGGTGACTCACCAGTGCCGCTTTGTTTTTCGGCCCACACTTAAACCCCACCAAGGGCCTCAGAGCTTTTAATGATACAGGCAGATGAACATTGCGGACAAATACAACGGAGCCGTCATCAGTCCCGTCTGGTGCATCACTTACGCTCTAACCACTGAGCCATGGGCTCTTTGTCCTGCCTCATTTTATTGGGAATATTGATCCTGGCAGATGACCACTAACCAATAGGTTTGAAAAACTTCCATTTGGACGGAGCCCTGCCCCCGTCCACCCCATTTCAGCCTCGTCCTTTGAACGGGAACGTTTTCCCTCAGGAATGCCATCCGGGTTGGTTATGCCGATTTATAACCGCGTAAGGCCTTGTGATGTCTACCACATTGGCCACTAAGGGGACAGAGGCATAATAAAGGTTGCCTCAGCACCCATTGCTGTTTATTTCAAGGAGATATGGGTCGGGAGTGTAACCTAGATGGTAAATTATTGAAATTAGTACAGTAAAGCGAGCTGAGACACAGTTTACATAGTGAAAGTGGCTGATAGTTTGGACATCTGTACAAATATGTATTAAAAAAGTAGCTCTCAGAAAACTGAGTTTTAAAAGTCCGACCCTGAAGTATGCTCCAGCAGCCGTTAAATCTGACGTCAAGTTTTTCGCCGCATTGCTTTTTTATTGAAGGCGCGTAGGTCGGAGGACATATTCTATTCGGACGAAGGATCCTCCGAGTTTGTGCTCTCCTCTAGCAGTGATTGGATAAATAGTAGAAGTGGGACGTTTCCCGATTCCTCAGCGCAGTCTTCGACTGTTCGGCCACACTGTAAGGAGAAGATGCATCAACCAGTTACACGAAGAAAAATGGTAGAATTAAATGCAAATTTTGCAGGTTGTCCACCATTCTGATCATTTTCAAAATTATACGTAACTATCAAGCCTATGTTTCTTATTCCAAAAAATGCATGCCCAGAATCCGTATGGATTTATATAATCGTGGTCTAAGCTGTGAAAACTAATGCGTTACCTTTTCTTAGACTCAGAAAAAGCAGTCTTCCATTAGGCTGAATCCAATTTAGTATATTTTAGTTAACTGCATGCTGGTTCAAACAAGTTGAAGAACATTACATTCCTTGTTAACCGTTCTAAAATTTCGTTGGGTCCAATCTAAAATCAGTAAGGCAAATAACAACGCGAAAATCTACGTCAAAACCTGTACTGACCCCTCCAGATGATAATTCGGTCTGACACTCGATTAATTTTTAGCCTGCTTCTTTGATAAAGTGACTTTGTAAATTAAAGGTGTGATCGAGGATTTTGGAGAGATGCGCAATATAATATAACAAGGTGATGTTGTTCTGTATGCAGGGTTCTAAGTTAAACAAAACTCACCACGTCTCTCAAATGCAATGACGCACCGGCCTCCATCAACACTTCAGCCGTTTTTAGATGACCCTTCAGGCAGGCGATATGGAGAGGGGTCAATAGTTGGTCATCCTGAGCGTCCAGTGGACAACCAAATTCAATGAGCAGTTTAGAGGTAGCTGCATTCCCATCAGCTGCAGTCACGTGAAGCAATGTTCGATCGTGCTAGAAAAAATAACGTAAATAGACAGCTTTATCCTGGAAGAACCTTTGAAGATTTAACGCCTTCTGCTTTTAGGCTAATAAATAAGTTATTCCAGAAGTGTTCATCCTAATTAATTATTAAACGTTGCAGTCAGAGGCTCTCACTATTTACGAAGACAACTAAATAATAATTAGGGGTTGGACAGTGAGTTAACCCTATTTGGGGCTGAGGTATGGCAAATAAGGGCAGCTCAGTCTCGGGGTCCGCCCCGGTAACAAGGGTAAACGTCTCTATATTGAAATCTTGCTGCGATTATACCATTCGATTTATAAGTCCAACTGAGGTCCCAGCGGCAGATGTTGCCGAACTTTGAACGAATGCTTTTACTATCGTTGTACATGTGCGTTGCTAACCCGCCTATTCCCGACAATAAGAGTTCATCAATACAATTATCATATGTACTGCTACGATTATGATTCTTGCTTTTTTCTGCAGAAACAGTTGTGCGAACAAACAAGTCCTCATAATTCATTTTAAGGGAGCTGAGGCGGAATGGGCCATGTGTTGAACTCGCAGCCATTGGCTCATTCGTTCGAACGGCTGTAAATGAACCAAACGGGGTCAGCGGTGAGAATCTTAACCGATAACTCGGGTCATCCCAGAGCACCGAAAACAAATGAATGGGAAGAGTTTTGCTCCTAAATGTGTTTTTACAATTTGACCTACACAAGGCACGTAACCATGCTATTTGTATAGCAGAAAACTTGAAAAATGTCCATAACTGGTACTCAAAAGAAAAGATTAATGGCCTCCCAGATTGGACCATGGCTCCTCCATGAAATCTTATCCAAGCCCTTAAGGCATGGCATGCAATAGCAAGGTCGGTAACTTTGCAAGTAAATTCTGGAGACCTTCTGTCTGAAAAGGAGCACTTCGTATGCATGTAAATAACGATACTGAGCTCAAAATAATTGACTCTAAAATCGAGACTGACTTGTCCTCCTTAAAATAATATGCATTGCTTATTTTACATTTTTGCAATCGAAGGGCGGTTTTTTCGCTACCACTAAATTGTGACCAAGACTGCTGCCCTCCTCTGAACTGCACCGACTACAGCGTGTACCTGGTCTAAAGCGACCGAGAAGTCCAACTGTTGGATTTCTCAAATGTGAGCTTTGGCACAATTTACATAAACGACAATACATGCCGCAGCAAACTCGATAATTTTGAGTTAGCACTTATTTTCGAAAGTCGCACTAGCTTCTAGCCGTCCACTCACACCGTTTTCTGTCGTCTTGGCGAATGGTTCCGCTTCCGAAATGCGATAAAATGCGCCCAGGCCGAAGGCTTTCTGCCAGGACATGCATACCATATTAAGTGAAGTTGATACTAAACAGCGTCTCATATAAAGGAGAAGATTACTCTGAGTATGTATAAACCATGTAAAAGAAGAGGCTCAAGTTACAAGTTGTACTTCCTTAAGCTTAACCAAGGGTCACCTTTAAAGTCATCAAACGCAAAATTCTACCAAAAAGGAAGAACAACGTGGGGCACAGGTTCTCGATTTAGCGCGTTACTTAAACTCAATAATTAGGCATAAAGCGCATTATAACTAACTCGAAAACCCATTGGGAGGAGGGTTAACGTCCCCCTAGTGTGACTGCAAATCTAATCCGCAATCTGAACATGGCAGTTTCGTTCTGTGGACCTCGGGTGACTTGGAAAACGCTAAGTAGGAGGATTGTTCCTGTTAGTGATTCCGTCCTATTTTGTAACTACTAGGAAGTAGTACCTTAACCACAGTCAGTGTTGAATTCACTAACATCGATCAAAATGTTTGTTAATTCCGGTTAAATGAGGACACACAACCCCCTTAATAGTTGAAACCACTGATAGGTGCAAAATCTCAGGTTCTGCTTAAAAATAAATTGTTGGCCCTTCGTGGTAAGTCACTCCACGCAATTCGGCGTTTTGCATTCAGTGTTTAGTGCCCTGAATGTCTCAATAGAAACCCACAACACCTTCCAACAACCCCACTAAGAAAACTGCTCATTAACATCATTAAAAAACGAAATCCTTCTTTGTTCGCTCATACATTTCAGTGTATCAGTTCTCAAGTTTGGATGCAGCCACTTACCCAATCGATTTCATCCACTTTAGCGCCATGCTCGATTAGACTTTGGACAAGGTCCATTTGACCCTCTCCACAGGCTCGTCGTAGAGGCGTCCTGCCGTTCTTCTCGCGTCTGTTGGGATCCGCCTTCCGCACCAGAAGCAGCTTGACGCCGTACAGGCTTCCCAACGAGACAGCCAGATGAAGTGGCGTGACACCATCCTTTAGTACAAAAATGAAAAAAAACGAAACAATTCAGTCGGCTCCTCACGTGTTTGCACTAAAACAAGAACAACCTAGCATTCTAAATAAGTACGCAGGGCATACAGACTGCCGAAGGATATGGTTGATGTCGATTCCTTCTTGAGGATCAACATTCTAGGATTAAAAACTTCTTTTTTCTCCTTTTATCCACCTCTGCCAACATGTAGCCCCGCTCACTGAGTGTGGTTAGATGAGGCCAGACGCGGCCATGGCCAGGTCTATTTTAAATAAATATCCTGAAATTACTTAAACGGTTTAAATAACCACTTCTACGTAAAAACATACTGTCTTTATCTAAATAAACAACAATTTATCCAGAAAATTCCACAATACCTCGTAAATTAGCCATAGTGATTGATTTATATTCCTTGATACGAAGTAGCAATATGGTGTCCATTAGACCACTTAGACCTCTCATTATTGTTGCTTTTGCGGTAAGTGTCGCAGGCTTCTCCTCCGGCTTACTTTTGTGATCACTTTAGTGCGTTATTCTGCGTCTATTTCTTGCGCATTATATCTTAATGCATTACGTTCTACAACAGCAATTTTCTCTGATATAAGGCTATTCATAAACATTCATTGAACTGTACGTCGTGTCTAGCTAAACTCGCATAAATCCGAATCATCAGCGATAAGAAAATTGGTATGACGTAAACATAGGAATCGGATATCGTTTGAGGAACGGAAGCTCATTCACAGTTAGCAAACATGGTAAGTGGCCCTACTCGACAATTAATAATATATTTTGGCCTTACGTTTGCGTTATTTCTTGTAATGAAAGGGCCCCTTGGGCCTTAAATATGCAATTTATTATTTTTATAATGAAAGCATTGATCTGGATACATTTTAGTCCGAACAGTTTATAATTTCTCAATAGTCGTATCGTTCGTGATCGGATCGCAAATAGGCACGCGTTGCTTGGACCAATACCATCTGGAAAATCGTGAAGAAGAAGTTCCGATCGCCGGGATTCTGTGATACGGTGGTCGAAGAGGAGCGCCCACCTTGTGCACCTTGGGAGGCTGTTAAAGCGGACCATGGCCGTTTCCTGTGCTCTCGCCATGCGTCGGTCAGATGGCGTTATTGCACCCGAGTTCTCTAATGCCAACAGGGTCGAATTAATTTCGAGCGTCAGCTTTTTAATGGGGTTGGTTTCGCATGAAAGATAAAACAGGAGATCCTTCAGTAAATTTTTGGCCTTCTGAAGGCAGTCAGTTCTGTCCATCACGACGGTGGAACGTCCCTTGTCGGCTGGCACAATGACAATGCCCTGGTCGGCCTTGAGTGCTCTTAGTGCAACGCGTTTAACCTTGGGGAGCACTTCCCGTGGTTGATGAGCCATCAGGGAGGGGGCAACACCTGGTGTTGGATAAGTTTCTCTGTCGCCTCTGTCGCTTCCGTCCGAGTAATAAGCGATTCTACAGCTGCAAGAATGTTAGCAGGTTTAGCATCAGTCGTGTTGAATGAGGCTTTGTGGTGTAGAACCTGTATTTGCTCCTTCGTCACTTCTTTCGACGACAAGTTGTGTACTACTATGTGCAGCGTTTTATGTTTGGATATTTTATGCATACCATTTTCAATAGGGTTTTCAAATGCATTGCCTACTACCCTAAATATACTGAACCATATCGTTTCTGGGTAACGTTGAATCATGCGGTTTGCAAAATGTGTTCACTAGTGCTGCTTCGCGAATTGCTAACTTATTGCGGGCTCGTTGGAGCAGTTTCTGCGAAAAACATCTTGTGCTGTCTTCACTCCTATGATTTCACAGCATCTGGTCTTCTCTTGGTCAGTTATCTGACGGTATCTCCGCTGCCTCGCGTGACAAACTTGAAGGATCAAATGAAAAATTATTTTGCCATGTTAAAACGTTGCGAGTCTCGCCGCCTCTATGTTTAGCGGAGGTTTGTATGTGGAAATTATATTTGTTAGCGCCAGAACGGCACTGTCCATACAAAATTAGTTCCGTAAAAAATAATAACTCAAAAACGAATTTGACAATGTGCGCAGATAGACGCAGAAAGTCGTAATAATATCAGTCTAAACTGTCCTTTTGGGGCAACATTTAGCAATCTTTTGCAATATAACACTCATCGGCAACAAGTTATCGTCAAGGCACCTGTGCAGAAACCTGATTTGCAAATAGGTTGACGCCTCACGAAGAGTAAAAGTTTCTCATCGTCGGGCCGGTCGGAGCGCGTCGCGTCCAAATAAACTGCCAATACAAGCAAACATGCGAGTCTCCGGGAAGTAAGTGAGAAAAAGATTCGATCGCCTCTCTTCTCTTCTAGTCAATTACTTCCCAGGACGCGCATGTGTGCAATCTGCAAAATCGTTGAGCAGCCGGTGAAACGAGGATTAACTTAGATAAATTACGCAAATACCCAGTGCTCAAACGCAGTGCACATTCCCGATATTCCACTCAGACATGATTGCCATGCTTGTTGTGGTTGATCAGCCCTAAATATGTGAAAGAGCATATCAAGATGGCAGGAGACAAGTCGCGGTGACAGTAGTTTAATTAGTGGACCTCGAAGGCGTTTAGCCCCAGACTAGCGTCTTGCGGTTTGAGTAAGGGTTAGAGCAAGAGCTGGGGTTAGATTTGGGATAAGGATTAGGTTTAGAGCTAGGGTTAGGGTCAGAGTTAGATCTAGGGCTACCAAGTCAAGTCAAGTCAACTTATTAAGGGAAATGTAGGTAAACGCCTTTGAACTCCCTATGTATAACAAGATAATTAGATAGTTTGTGACGATCTGCGCCTTGTACTTCTTATTAGCACAAACGGTACTCAAGGCCCATAGGAGATACAGGCAGATAAGAGCAGACCGCCATAGAGCGAGTGCGTGCACTCAGACAAATCACTTTACAGCAAGTCGTTCACACACAAAGTCTGAGTGCATTTAAGGGGGAACTCGAGAGACATAGTCGGGATAATGGGCCAATTAGAATTGAACAGACACGACTGGCCGCAGCGAGGCGCTCGCGAGAGGCCTTTGCGCGTGTGACTCATCATGGCAATAGCGGCATTCCCAACAAAGTTATGCATAGTAAACTGTATAATCGCGATTACCTTTCAATAGTTGTACCGTAGCCTTTAACTTTACGTAAACCCATCTTAGCTGCCAGTCGTTAATTCTCCGTACTTACGATTAACATTTTGCTTATTCCCCCCCTAACACCGGTCCCATATGACACAAGACTGCTGTTCTGGTGCGCATGGACGGCCTCC